CTAAGAAGGTCTACAAATGTGTAGACTTCTCTCTATTATGTGTAGACTTGCAAAGGACAGAACCGTAAAATAACTGTCTGTTTTTTTGTTTGGTCACAAGGGTTAAGTAGTAACTTCATAACCCCTTTAGGTTGGTTTTGCATTTGACTCAATAAGGGGTACACCTTTAGGGTTGAAATGAAATTTTAGGTTGGTTTTGTCAAATCCCCCTTAAATTGGTTAATGTAGTCTAAATTTATTAGTTGAAGAATATGTTATATAGCATGTTATTTTGATTGGTATAATATCTCATCACAATTTAAACAACCAAAAAATTATATAAACTTAAACTTGAAAAGATAGACAAAATTCGTATATTATTTTATTTAAAAGACTCATGATATACACTTGACTTGATTGTTACGATGACTATTTCAAAAAATTAGTCTCCACCATATTTATACTATTAAAATAGAAAAATATTACACTTAGGGGCAGTTTCAAAATTTTATTGACATAATAAGACAGTTGTTGCTACTAAGAGTAGTTTTGCTTAACCAAACCCATTTCCTCATTACAAAAAAGATTAATTTAGCTTATGTGTCTATTAGTTTTCTACGGTTCGGCCTAACAAACAAACAAACGAAAGTGAGTCCTATGTATCATTTTTCTTTTATTTCTTCCTCTTGAGTTCCTTTTTTTTTTTTGTAAAATGAATGTTATTCTTTTGAACTTTTTTAAAACAAAATATGTATATAATCAGTATCTTCATTATTTAATCTATCATTTGAGATATCTCACCTATATTTTTGATGTAACAAATTATTTAACAAATCAGAAACCAATAAATCACTTTTGTTCGAACTTTAAGATTAGAACCATGAATTAGGATTGAAAGCTATTACATTTAGGTAAAAATACATAAACAAATAAGTGGAGAATGCAAAAATCGTGGAAAATAAGCGAGATAGGCGGAAATTAGTTTTTTTTTGGTCGACAATGGCTAAAGAAGAAGATGAAGTTATTTTTTGTAATTTTATAATATTAATGAAGGAAGAAAAGTCATGTGTACATTACATTCAAATTGTACATGTGTACACCTAATTTTGTATTATATATCAATGTGATTGTGTACACATTTTTTGCTTTTTTGTAGGTTTTCTATCTAAATAACTAAGCCTCTGCGACTTCATAAAAAAGATAATATTAACACAACGTAAATGTGAATTTTTTTTCCTTCCTTCCCATGTATTCACAGGGTTGTGGCATCCTTGATATCTGACTGAACCCAAACATCATCCTTCACAATTTTTTTAAATATTTTCTGATTAGTGTGTGTATTTTCATGCTAGTTTCATGGTTGTGGTTTCATGCTAGCTTCATGGTAGGTATTAGCTTGATTAATTTCTAGTTGTTTTACATATGTACACTATCATATCTACCAAACACATCCATATTCACATGTACACATACACATTTCAAAATTTTGAATATCAAAACTATGTACACGTACACATACTTATTCACATGTACACATACACATTTCAAATTTTTAAACAAATATATTCACATGTACACATATTTAATTTGTGTACACATGTCAACTTATTCACATGTACACATACACATTTCAAATTCTTGAACAAATATATCAAAACTATGTCATATTATTTACAAATCAAAAATTTATCTATACATTTGTAACTACAAACACTTTGTGTAAATACTTACACATGGACATTTCACAACATGATGAAATATTTTTTTTTGGTCTGAAAAACATGGTGAAATCTTATTCTTTTATTTATTTTATATCTTATTTTAAATTTTAATTCATTTAAATTTTCAAGAATTTAAAATGTTATTGAGTTATCTATTTTATTTTCATATTCTTTGATTTTTTTAGTTTGTGCAATATACAACTGAATCGGTGTACATGTATTTCTGTATGAAACTGTTGTACACATCCATTATTACTGTGTACACATACATGTTTTATGAAACAGAATTAGAGACAATCAAGACATTTTTCATATGCTTTCCAGCCTTCGAAATTTTTCATATCCCAAGAGCTCAAAACGAAATTTCGGACTCTTTAGCTAAGAATACGAGATTTTTTCATAGAGAACTCTACTTTGTTGATTATTCTATTTCAGTCTTGTTACCCAGACCACTTCAAATTTGAGTAATAGAATAGCCATTTGATGTCAATATATATATATATATATATATATATGTTTGTACATAGTAATAATATTTGAACGATTTTGTATGTAACAAATTTATCATGTGTCCATGTTAATCATTGCATGTGAAAATATACAAATATAATTTTTGTATACATGTGAAAACGTACATATGTACACAATATAATATTTGTGCACATGTACACATATCTTTGCACACATATTTTTGTCCTTTTTATAACTTTTTCACTAAAGGCAAAATCGTAATTAACCCATCTTCTATCTATCAATTTTTTAAAAGATTTCTGTAAAGTTTTGACGGCCGTAAACCATGGTATCTTTCTAAATCATGTAAATTTGGCGTGTTTTCATATTTATTACAGAAAATTCGTAGATCTACTAGCAATTAATCAATTTCAAACTAAAAAGTTATAATTTGATGAATCTATTCCTTTTAAATATATCAAAATCATCACTGTGGCTTATTGCCAAACCTTCCACCATCCCATTATCAGTTTTATCCTCACTGTAGCCGTTCCGTTTGTGTTAAGACTGAAGTTCCTCCTCAGTCGAACAACGATTATGTTTTTTTTTTGCATCGGCTTTGTTCTTACCATCTCGCCTTGTATCCAAATTCATCTTATGTCTGTAACAAAAAAATTTGTTTGATAAAAAAGTGAATAAACAAGAAAAAAACTTATGTCTCAAAGAAGTAGAAAAATATATACCCCATCCCCACCATTAAGTTTTGAATTTTGAAAACAAAACTAAATAAAAAAAGAAAAAAAATTAGGTTTATCCTTAGCTAACTACTTTCGACCAGTTACGCTTTACTAAGGTTAAGTTGAATCTTTTCACTCAAAAAGTGTCTTTGTAGCGGAAACTGGTTAAGTTGAATCTTTTCACTCAAAAAGTGTCTTTGTAGCGGAAACTGCCTCAAATTGTTAAGAATCTTAAAATTGTCTTATAATGTAAAAAACTCTTAAAATAGAAGTCATGACTTCTATTATGTCTGTGTTTCCAACAAAAAGAAAAGACTTCTATTATGTGTGATTTTTTTTGTTGGATCTTCCCTAGAAATTTATAAATGTATCTATTTATGAATTATAATATAAAATTCGTGTAACTAGTTTAATCACAATATCTTTTGATATTTTTATTTTAATATATATATATATATATTTGACATCATATACATATATATATATATATATATATATATATATATATATATAAATTCTAACAATTTTTTTGGAAATTCTTTTAGCAAGATCTCAATTCTTAAAATTTTATGTAAATATTTTCACTAATTTTATAATTAATAATACTCCCTCTGCTTTGTTTTAGTTGTCATTCTAGGTTTTTACACATAGATTAAGAAAACATTTAATTTTACATATTTTCAAGATAAAAACACAATTACCTATATGTCTAACCACTTTTCAACTAATAGAAAAATAGAATATCATAGAAAGTTAATAAATTTTTTCTCGAAACGCAAAAAAACACTTATTTTAAAACAATTTTTTTTCTCTAAAATGACAACTAATTTTAAACGGAGGGAATAATATATTAGTATGCATTAATATATATATATATATTCTCTTATAGTTTATAGAATTAAAAATAAAATTATATCATTTTTATTTTGTTATAATTATAATCTATCATATTCAAATAGTTATTATACTAAACTAAATATGATAAAATTATATTAAATTATAAAGTAATTTATTCTATAACATAAATATAAATATTTATGTTCAAATGCTATAATATGTTAGCAAATCGGATTAACATACTAAACTATATAATACATGTATATAAATTAACATTTCTTACACTTTTATATATACAACAATATATTATCTAGAATTAATAAACATAAAAATGATAATAGATAATCAAGAATTTTGAAGTGTGTTAGCATAAATTGAATACAAATGAATTTTTAATTTACTGTTAATGCATATATTAATTTGTTTTAATAATAAAATACAAATCTAATAAAATAAATATGTATAAAAACCAACAAATATATGTGACGGTGTAAAATAATTCATTAATTATGACATGTCAATTATAAAATATTATATTTAAAATAGTTATATAAATATTTAGATATATGATTAATGTTTAAATATATGTAACAAGAATATGTAAATCAAATATGTATCTATATATAAATGAAATTAAACAATGTACCATTGGGCGGATCAAAGTCTAAACATTATTTAAAACTACATAATTATGCAAAATCTGTTTTACAATCAGTAAAGAGGAGTGGGAATGAGTAGAGAAAAAAAATTAATTGAGGTTATGTTAGGTATCTCGGAGAGCGATCTTGCCAACCAGAGTAGATAGAGGAGATTAAAAGTTGCCGTGACTTTTTTTGACTTCATTCTCATCTTCATCCTCCGGAGGAATCAATCACTCTTTTCGCCGGTGAGTTTCAGCCTCTCTCCTTTCCTCTATTTCTAATTTAATGATCGAATTCAATAGGATGCTGAGGCTAATCACCAAGGGTAAATTGGTTGTTCCATTCGGGCCAAGTAGAGAGAATTCAATAGGATGTTTTTCTCATCCATCGTTCAACATGTAATCTGTCTGAGAACCAATATTCATTATTCTGGAACATATTTTTGAGCAACGAATCAAACGATTTTCTACAGAATATTGCTGAAAAATGCAGTGGAATGGGGTGAGAAGAGCCCATTCTTTATGGTGCAAGAGTTTAACACACAGCACTCATCCTTGTATTCCAGTCAGCATGTCTAGTTTGGAGGCTTTTGACAAGTTGCCAAGTACGAGCACCAAAGAGAGGATCCAGAGGTTTTCATCCGGTGCTTGGATCCAGGGACGAGATCTTAGCACCTCAAACAGTTTCAAGTGGGTGCAGGTTTTATTATTTGTTTGCAAGTTGAAGGCGTATTCTGTTCTTATACTCTTCAAACATCTCTTTGAGTTTTAGTGATGATAAAAGCTTCGGTGAAGACTCTATTCCCTGGAAAAGGCATTCTCGGAAAGTATCTCAAGGTCAACTTCTACTTCGGAACTCCACAGTTTCTGGGACTTTATGGGAATCCAAACATTTCCAGGAGCATAAGTATCACACTTTTAGAAATGACAATGGCATACCGTATTCACCTAACAAGGTAAATTTCAGTATCTCCAAAATGATTCATCTTTTCCAATTTCTACTGAAATTGTTTTTTCTCTCTTTATTCTTCCCAACTTCAGGTCGTTAGAGATATTCCCAAGTTTGTGAAGATTGTAGAAGTTGGTCCAAGGGATGGCCTCCAGAACGAGAAAAACATAGTTCCCACATCTGTGAAGGTGGAACTAATACAGAGATTGGTTTCTGCCGGATTGCCCGTTGTTGAGGCTACAAGTTTTGTATCACCTAAATGGGTTCCCCAGGTAATGTTTATATATTATACTGTTCGTGGAATAAGTAATTTGATTTTGTTTTGATTGCAATCAATAGTTCGTCGAAGAAGTAATTTAATTTTCTTCTGATGGGCAAAACAATGATGACAGCGACTTTCCAAGTTTCTGATTGTGTGAGGAAGAAGTATGCTACCCATTTAGATGTTAAAAACAATTTCTTTGGTAGATGCTTACGGGAAACTAATTTGTCTGAACACAAGTTTGTACTATTTCACCTTGTAGCTTGCAGATGCAAAGGATGTAATGGATGCGGTAAATACTCTAGATGGGGCTCGATTGCCGGTTCTGACTCCTAATCTAAAAGTGTGTGTCACTTTTCCTTTACGTTTCCCCAAAAGTTGTTGGCATCTTACTTTCGAACACCAATGCAGAGTGCTTGCTTCTTTCTAGGGCTTTGAAGCGGCTGTATCTGCAGGGGCTAAGGAAGTTGCAATCTTCGCATCGGCTTCTGAGTCATTCTCTTTGTCAAATATTAACTGTACCATTGAAGAGAGTCTCCTGAGATATCGTGATGTTGCCACTGCTGCAAAGGAGCTTTCCATTCCTGTCCGTGGGTACGTTTCTATTACTTATTTACATTATATGTTCCTCCTTCCAGATCATGTCTCAAGAAAGATAAATTCGTACTTTTTTAGTTCTTTAACCTAGTTATTTGATTATGGTTTCTCGACTGCTTTATGGGTTGTCATCTTCTCTCATTTCAATGCGTTATGAACCAAAAAAAAAATTTAATTGAGCGACTGGTTGATCATGTTTGCCAAAATACTTACGTTTATCTCAGGTCTGGTATGAAGTGTAAAATATATATTATAGAACCATGGATAGTTTTTTTTTTTTCTCGTCCGAACTTCATTTACTATCAAGCTTATGATTCATTCTGAGTGTCGATGATAATTCTTTTTTTAGACGATGATAATTTTTCGAATGTTGAAGGTATGTATCTTGCGTTGCCGGATGTCCAGTGGAAGGAGCGGTTCCACCCTCAAAAGTAGCACATGTTGTTAAAGAGCTCTATGACATGGGCTGCTTTGAGATTTCTCTTGGTGATACAATTGGAATCGGCACTCCTGGTAATTTGTTTACTCTGCAAATCTTCTAAAGTTCCCTCATTAATCGATTCGCTATCTTCTGAGAATTGATATTTTTAACAGTTTCTGTGCTTATAAATGAATCAGGTTCTGTTGTTCCGATGCTTGAAGCCGTGATGGCAGCGGTGCCAGCTGAAAAGCTGGCTGTTCACTTCCACGATACCTATGGACAAGCTCTTGCAAACATATTGGTATCTCTCCAAGTAAGTCAAGAAAATAGAACAAGGTTTTGACTTTATAAAACTTTCATTTATGGGTTTGACTGACATGTGTTGGTGAAAAAAAAAGATGGGAATAAAAATAGTAGACGCATCAGTTGCTGGATTAGGCGGTTGCCCATATGCAAAAGGAGCCTCAGGAAATGTAGCCACAGAGGATGTGGTTTACATGTTAAACGGTTTGGGGGTTCAAACGAACGTTGATTTGGGAAAGCTTATAGCTGCTGGAGATTTCATCAGCAAGCATCTCAGCCGTCCAAACGGTTCCAAGGCTTCTGTTGCTCTTAACCGTCGGACCACTGCTGTTGCCTCCAAGATATGAGTGTTTATAACAGGATTTTACATATGTAAACTCTTATGAATGTGAGACGAAAGAGATAATGAACACAACTTTTGTATAAAGATAACATGTGAGTGGTTCATTGGTATCGGAAGATGTGCGTTTATGGTTTTGTTCTTTTGTTTTGTACAGTATTTTCATTGTTGTCAAGTAATGACACTGAATCATAGCATACGTATAGTCACTGAATATTTTAACATGTTTCTGAGCCAATCGAAAACATAAATCACAAGACCCTAACTCGGTAGTCGCTGATCATAACTTTCATCAGAAAGAAAAACACACGAGTAGACTTTAAGACCAACTAAATGATTAGAGCATGAATAGTGGAAGTCTCTCCCATAGTACCTCATCATTTTTTTTCCGTCTGAAAATATTCAATTTATCTTAACGTTTCTTACAAAAGCTGAATCAAATCATAAATTCTCATAAACTAAAACCCAAAGTAAAGACAGCTTGAACCCACAACGAGGCAGCTTGAGCCTACACCGGACTTACAAACACAAAAAACTACATATAAGAATCTCCCACCCATAACTAGAAACACCACAAACGAAAACAGCTATAGATAAACTTATACCAATTCAGTGGACAAGACCTCCCAATGTAGCAACCGTAGTGATCTGGATAAATCAAAGATGCCCTCGGCCAACCGACGATTCCATCCACTTCAAAACCCGAAGACCCTCAATCTTTTCAACCCATATCTATCACTGCTGCCTATAGCCTGCCAAACGATACCATCCGAAAGATAGCATTCCTCTCCCGCATATTGATCGACTGGTCGAGTCGACGGCCGGTAACGAGCTCCTCATCTTTATGGACGCATTCTCAGGGTATAATCAGGTTACAATGCATTCTGAAGATCAAGAGAAGATCACGTTCATAACCGACAGAAGGACATACTGTTACAAGGTCATGCCTTTTGGGCTTAAAAATGCCGGCGCGACATACCAACGCCTAGTCAATCGAATGCTCGCCGACGAGCTCGGCAAAACAATGAAGTATACATCGATGACATGCTAGTTAAGTCGCTACGTGGAGCCGACCACCCGACCCACCTGCACGAATGCTTCAAAACCTTAAATGAATACGTAATGAAGTTGAATCCCGCAAAATGCACTTTCGGTATCACTTCGCGGGAGTTCCTCGGTTACATTGTAACACAACAAGGAATCGAGGCGAATCCAAAACAAAATTTTCGCCATTCTCGACCTCCTTAGATAAAAAATAGTCGAGAAGTCCAGCGACTAACGGGTCGAATTGCCGCTCTACCGACAATAGCCTCCCGTTCTATGAACTCTTGCGTGGCAACAAACGGTTCATCTGGGACGAGAAATGCGAAGCAGCTTTTGGTCAGTTGAAAGAGTACCTGACCACTCCACCGGTTTTCGCCAAGCCCGAAGCCGGAGATACGCTTTACGTGTCCATCGCCGTTTCTCTTATCGCAGTCAGCATCGTTCTCGTCAAAGAACACCACGGCGAGAAAAAACCAATATTCTACACCAGAAAATGCATGACGGATCCCGAGACGCGCTACCCGACACTGTAGAAGATGGCATTGGCTGTCATCACCGCAGCACGGAAACTCTGACCTTACTTCCAATCACACATGATTGAGGTACTGACAGACCAACCCCTCCGGACCGTGATGCAGAATACCAACCAATCAAGATGATTGTCCAAGTGGGCAATCGAGATCAGCGAGCACGACATTGTCTTTCGAAACCGCACAGCGCTCAAGTTGCAAGTTTTAGCCGAATTCATGATCGAGTTACCGCCCCAGCTCGCACATGATCTAGTTCTGCTGAGCCATAATTGGATCTTGCACGTCGATGGTTCATTAACGAACAAAGGATCCGGAGTAGGGGTCCAACTGCAGTACCCGACCGGCAAACTGATCAGACAATCATTCCGACTAGGCTTCGCCGCTTCCAATAACGAAGCCGAGTACGAAGCGCTCATCGCTGGATTGGCAAAAGCCGTTAAGGAGAAATGACTAAGCGCTTATTGTGACTACCAGCAGGTCACAAGCCTGTTCAGCGGAGACTACGACACTCGAAATGAACGAATGGACGTGTATCTGAAGGTAGTCCAGAATCTCGCCAAGGAGTTTGAATTCTTCGAGCTCACGAAAGTCCCACGCAGAGAAAATGTTTGCTGGGAGCAAACTGTATGATCAAGTGAAGAGGGCCATTCCCATACATCAGATCGATAAACCGAGCATCGACATCGTGACTGAGAACCCTTCTCACGATAATACCCTCGTCCTTGCAATCAAGCAATCTGATGAGACCATACCAGACTGGAGGATCGTGCTTATTGATTTCCTCGCCAATTGAAAACTTCCCGCAGAGAAGTGGAGCGCTCGACGGCTGAAAGTGCGAAGCTCAAATTATGTCATCATTGATGGAATCCTCCAACGATGGACCGTGAAAAAAATCCTCCTTCGATGCATCCATGGTGAGGAAACATACCTCGTGATGGCCGAAACCCATGAAGGAGCTGGAGGCAACCATTCTGGTGGGTGAGCTCTAACCCTGAAGATAAAAAGTTTAGGCTTCTACTGGCCAACCATGACGACTGATTGCGAGTCATATGCACGAAAATGCGACAAATGCCAAAGGCATGCATCAACAATCCACTATCCGACTAAAACGCTGTGAACAATGACAACCCCTTACCCATTCATGCGATGGGTGATGGAGATCATTGGACCAATGCCTCAATCCCGACAGAAGCGTTACATCTTGGTACTCACCGAAAACTTCACGAAATGGATAGAAGCAGAGTCCTACGCCTCGATCACCGAGAAGGAAGTCCAAAAGTTTGTATGGAAGAACATCATCTGTCGTCACGGTCTTCCCTACGAAATCGTCACGGACAATGGCTCTTAGTTTGCACAAATGTTTTGCGAGTTCTGCAACAAGTGGAGGATCAGACTAAATATGTCCACTCCTTGTTACCCACAGAGCATCGGTCAAGCCGAGTCTTCTAATAAGACGATCATCGATGGAATCAAGAAGTGACTCGACTTAAAGAAGGGTTTCTAGGCCGACGAATTAGACAGAGTCTTATGGTCGCATTGGACAACACCGCGAGGAGCCACTAAGGTAACACCATTCTCTCTCGCTTATGGAGTCAAAGCCATGGCACCAGCCAAAGTAAATGTCACCATCCTGCGATGATCAAGGATGCCGGAGCACGTCAAACTCAACAGCGATATGCTCCTCGACGCCCTGGACACAATCGAGGAGAGACGAGATCAGGATTTCCTCCGCATCCAAAACTATCAGCACGAGATCGAAACTACTACTACAACTCCTCGCTTTTCAAAAAAAAAAAACCGAGCTAATGGCTTTCAGTCACTTTAGCTCATCGAGTAGATGCGCCCCAAAGCCGTCGTACTTGACAAATGATGCAGTGTCTTTTGTGGTTTCCGATTCCAGAGATCATCGTTCGATTCCTTCATCGTCTCGGGTTATTAATAAGTCAAATGACCCCGTGCGGCTTGCAGTAACTCGTTGGTCTTTTGACGTTGAGTTACGAGTGAGGATTGGTTCTTAGTGTTGATCACCTCGAGGGTTTACTGAAACCTGAGGGGACGACACAAAGGATCAAATTATCCCCTCGCAGGGTAATAGTCACCGATTCCTCGTCGGCCTACCCTTACTGGAAGAAGAATTTCTTATATGTTCGTATTGACAGCGCATCGGTGGAGGAGGACTGTATTCCTCTTTTTGTGACCAAATGAGGTTGGAAAGGTATCGTGATTCAGATGTGCATGATCTCTTAAAATTTTCTATTTTATTCATTCGCTTTCGTTTTATGCAGAGACCAACCCTCTTCCTCCATTTCCAGAGGGTTTTTCAACCGTTATTCCTTCGCTTCAAGACGGGGATTGTAGTTGGAACAGCTTCTCTCCACAGTGTGTTCGTCGTGCAGTTGCTCTTTTTCAATCTCGGTTTCTTGCAGCCTCTCTGGTTTTCGAAGAGGATCCGTGTATAGGAAACTTTGTTCCGTATACGTCCCCAACAAGGAGGACCAGGTCGAGGTCTCGAAAAGATAAGCACGTGCTCGTTGACTAGGGTACGCCTGGCTGCGTTGATTCTCCTGACAACATACTCAAGGATTTCCTTGATAGTCAGGTAAATGAGGGCGTTTGGGCATGTGCTGGGGGATCATCAACTTCCAATTTCTTGGACGGCGATCTTGGCTATGTTCCAGAGTTTGCCAAAACGTCCGACCAAGCTAATCAGGTTTGTTTTACTTTTAACGACTCGTGACCAAAAAGTTTCGCTTATCCTTTCTTTTTTCCTTTCGCAGGGCCTTCTAACTATGAGTCGAGCCTTGATAGATCACAACTCCGAAGCTCGTCTTGCTGAGTTTCGTGCGGACTTGGCGGAAAAAGAAGTTGCTCGTCTTCGAGCGGAGGTTGATGCCAACACTTTTAGTGCTGAGGAATGGGCTGAAAGGGAGGTTGCTCGCGTGAAAATAGAATGTGCGACTAACTCTCGCCGTCCTAAAGAGCTAACCGATCAAAGAGTTCGTCATGCTCGTCGAGCGGGAAAGAGAGAGGTTGCTGAGGAAGTAAAGATTCGACGTGAACGATTTGCGACTTATTACTCGAATGTTGAGGTTGCTCAATGAGCCTATGGCGACTATATCGAGTGTCGCGGCGTAGTCAACGGGTTGTCCCTTACTTAACGTGAGGATTACTTGTATGCTAGAGAGTTTCCCGAGCAAAGGGAGCGCTTGGTTGGGAAAAAGGATATGTAACCCGAACTTTTTGATCTTAGGGCGCGAATGTGGGATCAGTGGAACCCTATTGCGGTGTCGTCGGATTCGGTCGAGGTTGGGACTGAGATCCCGGATGCGAGTGGCGAGGTTGATCAGCCGTGGGTTGATGCTAACGGTTGCCAGAGCCCGGCGTCCGAGTATTATAATTTTTATGGATGATGTCTTTGTTGTTTGTAATGTTTATTGGGACTGGCCGTTGGTGACTTTGGATCCCTGCCGCTGGGCGGTGTGTAATGGATGATAAAATATTAATAAAATTATTTTCTAAGTATGAAATCTGTGTTTTGTTTACATGTAAAGGGAAGAGTACGAGTTGTCGTCTCGCATCTAACTGTTGGTGTAGATCGTCCGGTTCGTTTACTCGGAGTGT